AAGGGGTTTTGAGCTGTAGCCGGACGCAGACACGGTGCATGAAAGTGGTTACGATCATCTTAGGTTAGCTAAATGCACTCTCGACTTCAGATCTGCGGTTTTAACGACAGATTTGTTTACCACTTTCCTAACTTTAATGATATCGAAACCGAGGCCTTCTGGTCACTGAGCTACTACGCCAAGCATCTGGCACAAGGAACAGTCGCAACAAATGTCAAGATCAACTCTCGGCAAGGCAAGGCGGAGGAGACTACGGGGTGACGGTGTGTTTCGGTCTGCGCAACCGGCCAGATGATTCCCCACCGTCGAAGCATCTGTCGGGACGTTTTGATGTTCCAGACCTTAAGCACGAATTCACTTTTCATTTGCATTTCGTCAGGCAGACAGTCATGTGTTTTAATCCGCCGGCTTCCATTCTTACTTCAGCGACCGGAAACAAATGCAACATCTGCCGAACGGTAATGCAATAGGCCAAGAGTTCTACCACGAAAATCTCCGCGGTCATGGTACACGCTTCGACCCCCGTCAGCTGGCACAGCACACGGAACGAAAGCAACGCTCTGAGCGAGTAGGACTCGTCTGTGACGTCAGTTCCGGCTCTCCACATCACAGGCGCGGATCCCCAATGTAGGGCGAAACAAAACTGGAGACCAGCTGAGAACTCCGCAGCTGGCTTCCACAAACAATCGGAACATTCTGCATAATGGAATGTCTAATACACACACACAGAACAGAACAAACAACCCCAATTAATCTCAGAGTTCAAATGTAACTCTGGCCATTTATTGCAGCTTCTAAACTTGGTCATGAGACGGTCACCTGATCGCAGCGGACACGTTCGCTCCTAATGAAATTTATCATGTCTCAAGGCCACTCAACTGAAATCACGTATGGAGACACATACGACGTTTCTTCGCTCCGCACTTTAAAATTTGGCCCAAAAAGTTCCGTGGATCAAAGCAACTATTTTTCGTTTCTGAACCTTGAAATTACACATGAAGGACTGGACTGGAGTGGACTTCCTCGAGATATCATCCGGCGGCGGGCTCTTGTGAAGAGGGAATGAACCTTCAGGTCCCGTAAAACACTGGGAATATTTTGACCATCTGAGCGTGCTGTTCGGCGTATAAAGAAAGAGACTGCTCCATGGAGTGAGTCGGTGGAAAAATATTACACAGATCTGGCTGCTTGTAGATGCCAGGGCATGAACACGTGGGAAGGTTTCTCGACGAAGGCAATCAGTTCGCAGCCAACACGCGAGGGTACCACACACAACCACCGACACAGAGCCCGCGGTAAAGTGAACGTAACTTAGAAGCGACAACTTTCATCGCCCGATGTGTCCGCGGCGAACAAGCGACGTCTTGACCGCCTCGAGAAGCTCGGAAGACAAGTCAAAGAGGGCAGCTATTACATAATTCAGTCTAAGTTTTGTGTGAGATCTAAGGGAAATGTACTGGCCTCAGAAAACCTAACTTCAGCACAAGGCAGGCTGAAAAAGTTGAGTTTGAAAGCGGAACAGAAGACTCCTTGCCTCAGTTGGTAGTACTGCTACTGAAATCATGTCTGGGTGCTGCGAGTACATCGTAATGACTTCAAGCCAAATGCATCGCAGAATGTCACATAACTATTCCGTCCTGAAGATGGCTGTTTTCGGGGATGCTGTGTCGTGAAACATCGTTCAGTTTACACCAGACGTGCACGACGCTACATCCCAGAAGACGGCCGCCTTCATCCTCGTCGCTGTGAGTATAAAGTCTCGCCTACTCCATTCAAAGTTGCAGTAATGCGGGTTCAGCCTGGAATTCTTTTGCGAGCGAATTTCATTCGCAACCTGTTCCAGAATCGCCTGATAAATACCGAAATGATGTGAAAATAAGTTGGTTCTTTTGAGGAGAACCAGTCTTCACACCAACGACAGCATAATCGCGACCAAAGTACACTGGCACTGATTGAGGCTCCCTGGGACTGCTCTACGTCACTTTTGGCTTTTCTTATAATAATATTAAAAAAAACTACAGACTGTCCACTGTTTCAAAGGGCAGCCAACTGTTACCTGCTTTCAAACTCAAGCACCCAGTCATATTACATGTAACACACAACCTTCGAGCGTCGTCATATTTACGACTCCCTTCAAAAATATATATTTTTAAATTATTTATCATATATTTGTAACCAACAGTTAACTTGATATTTTATATATATATCTGCTCACTTCCACACTTAAAAATATACAGAGAATTACCGGTATTATTTCCAACAAACTGATATCATACTGGCGCCAATAATACTAACTGTTTTGTGACGTAAGAATATCAAAATAAATATCCTCCCCCTAACTAACTAACTAGCTACATACAGCGAGAGTCTGTCTTTACCTCGTCCTGAAGAAAGCACCAATAGAAATACGACGTGCTGCGTCCACCGCTGTTTCGTCCAGTAGTCGGTAATGCAGGTCTCTCCTCCACCCGACGCAACTGCCACGTGCAAAATAGATCGATTCTCTTCAAATAACGTAAACACATTCCAACTGCGACTCCTTAAGCAGGCCGACAACCTGACCAACTGGACAAATCCCACGTAAGGTGACGCTGAGGGGTGGAGACTGAACAGCCGAGACGGCGAAATGAAACAGTTCGAAATCTCTTTCTGATAACGAGAACAGCGAACCAGCGTTTTGTTAACACCGGACAATCAGGATGGGAATAGAAAGGAGGCGGTAAGTAAAAGACTTACTGCGAGGCCTACGAAGACGAGCACGGTGTCAGGAGTGTTTTGAGAACGCCGATCACACCCGAGACTAAAGAATGTGTGCCTCGTCCTAGTTAAAACAGCCGATGGGGCCACGTGGGGAAGAAATCTTCGTATACAAGAAGGACAGTGGATACGGAATTTCCATCCCTCAGAATACCAACCAACATCCCTCAGCAAGACGATCTACGGGGGATAACGAAATATCATGGACGGGCGTCTTCTGGGATGTTGCGACTGACAGGCGTTTCAGAGGGGCTCATTGCTCCTGTCATCAGGGCGAGAGGCAGCAGGCCTCTCTGAAACGTCGGTCGATATCCACCGCTCTGCACGGCGCAACAACCCACAAGGCATTCACCTTCATAATCTCCGCCGTGAGAACCCAAAATCTCACCAGACTAAAAAAAAAAGCAGGTCGCCCTGTTCAGGTGGTTCATACTTCAGAGCTGTCAGTGTGAACGAGGCTTCAGTGTCGCTTCATATGGAGGGACAGGTGGTCGGACCTCGAGAAGGACCTCTGACACAAATGGCACTTAAACGGTTTCTGTCCTGTGTGTTTCCTGTAGTGACGTGTCAACTCGTCAGAGCGTGCGAACTTCCACGTGCACCCCTCCCACGTGCACTGGTACGGTTTCTCTCCTGCAAGAAAAAATTTACAAGAATTGTGTGAAAATGGTGAATGTTTCTCTCAAGTACCTAAGTTTTGGAAATATACGATAATTAAACAAACGGAAAAGTGAAACAACGGAGCAACGAACAGCCTGCGCGAATATACGAGGATATTTGACGGGTGTGCCACGGTATAGCCCTTCGGGTATGCAGTTCCTACTCTTAGCGGCACAGCAGCCAAACGTCCTCACACTTTCACCTCCGCTCCTCACTTTAAGATTCGAACTGTAATCTGAGCGCTCCGAAGTCACTGATACTGCGACTAAAGCTGGGCAGTTTAAGAAGCGTACTGACAGGCTCCCGCGCCAGTGTGAAGCCAGCTTCGCCGATCCGCTCGTGTTGAATATTGGTTCCCTCACTCGACCATGTACTTGCGTTGTTATGGTAACGCAAACAGTTACGAAATGAAAGCATCACGATCGCTGGGTCTTTATCAAAGCTCGCTAACACGTGCTTCACCCAAGGACACGCCTCGATAACTTCGCCATGTGTAAGCAATCGTCGGGCAGTCGCGCGCCTTCCTTTCATTTTCCATCTTCGACCCGTCCCCAATATCGCAGAGAATTCCCGTGATTACACCCCAACACCCAACGCAAGGCATTTTCAAACGTTGCTGAACCCAAAACGCAGTCCAGACTGACGTGGACTCTTGCCACGCGGACCAGCTCCATGCGAACAGGCTGTTATGTGATTTAGAACTCACTGCGGTTTGAAACTTTTATTTATGGCTTTGACAAAATCTCGAGAATGTTCCATTGTTTCTTCTTCATGACCAGATAAAACACGACGCGACCTCGGAGGATGCAAAGGTGTGGCCAGCCACGATTCAGCAATAAGAAGTAGAGTTCGCGGGCGACACAGCACACGGACGTCGATATGCAAAGATGAAATTGATAACGTAAGATCTTAAACCTTCCCATCCGCGTTTACACGAATGACGAAAATGCCACAACAAGCATAAGACCCCCTGAGCTGCAATTCATTAATCACGCGGCTTCTGTCCTGTTAATTCCTGGGACCCTGAATCCTTCTTAAGGGTGGCTGGGCGTCGGGTCCACTCGCCGTAAGACAGGAAGAATCCTTGCCTCGAGTGAGATTCGAACTCACAACCTCAGTGTTGGAACGGATCCAGACCGATCGGCCGACCACGTAGTCGACTTACTGACCTTTCAGAGATCACTAGGCGATGGATGCTGCTCTCTATTCACACACACACGACGCCCTCTTCTCGTCCAATATTCATGAGTGACTGGCAATGAATTTATGTTTTTATGATTTAATAGTCGCCGGCGTCCGGGTTCCTCCGCCACATCCTGGAGTCTGTTCGTGATCTGGCAGAACAACGCGCGCTCCTGTCGCCGGACAAGGGCTCCTCTCGCGGCAGTAAGTCGACCAAATTTGAATAGGGCGTGGCGCTTGAAAAGCAGCAGGACGATTGAAAGGCGAACTCGAAGATTTATTGGGGTTAGACCCGATAAAGTGATACTCGCCCGTCACGGAACGGTCTGATCTGATCCGGTCCAGCGAGGACACTTCTCACGGCGGAAGCTGAGCATCTGACTGCGTCCGCAAGAAACAGCAGAGGGTTCATTCAGACTGCGTGGAGCACCTAGCAAAAACCTCGCATCACGGGCCACTGGTCCACACGCCCTCCAGACCCTACATAACGAAAAACTAGCCCAAGGAAGACAATGCTACGACGTCCTGCAATGCAGACACAGACCACCAAGTGCTCACGTGAACTTCCGAGAACTGAAATGAAGCCAGCGACACCAGTTTCCGAAACAAGTGAACGTCCTTAACAAGGGGTCGTCACACCTCGTCTTGACCACTGTCTCGACATTTAAATGCGTCATCTTAAGGTCATCAAATACTACAGACCTCTTTGAAGTGTTGGAAACTCAACATGCAAAGAGGCAATTACGTCAGATGAATCCGCTACGGCGTCTTAATTTTTCTGCACAATTTGCAAGGAAGGAGCCAGTTAACTGACTGGAAAAACCTGTTGCTGGAAAAAATACTTGAATTTAGCACAAGACGTCAAGCAATTGAAACACCAATTTGTACCACAGCCAAGCCCTTACAATCGACACTGAGCAAAAATTGGCGTGAATCTTTTTTTCCCCAGAACCCGTCCACACTGTCAAACGGAGCGCATCTCGAGCGTGACGTAATTAAATCGCACATGACGCGACATCTGGAGTAAACTAGCGCTCGCAGAGCTCATACCCAGAATTACTTACACCCACGCATGCTACATGTCCCTCCCATCTCATCCTACTCGATGGCAGCAGGATCAGGTGTAGGGCCCCTCGTGACGCGAACATTCCGCTCGTCATCTGCGATCCAAATGCCTCGGCCAGTCGCCGCCCTGTTCGAACAGCGTGCTCCTCAGACTTAACAAGGGCGCGCCCCTTTGCTCTCAGCTACCGGCGGGCGTCCTGTTCGCGCGTGTGTCGCTGACAGGCGTAGCCAGAGCGAGAGCTAACTAAATTCATTAACATATCTGATGAAGCTGTTCAACGATGACAATGCCTTGCAAGACAACGGCGGAAGAAATGTGCGCCGTGGCGCTGCCGTCCACCGACACACAGAAGCAGTTCTGCGACGAACGTGCTGCTCCCATCTGCGGTGGTGAGAAAAGGTACTATACCAGCATCTGGTCGCAGGGACTGAGGAAGTCAGGACAGCCCGTGTCCGATCGGACATTTGAGCCCGGGACTTAGCAAACACAAGACCAGGAGTGCCAACCACTCTGCAGCGATGTTAAATTTCTCCCATTTTTATTTCGCACGACTGCCATATTGGAATTATGACTTGTGCCGAATTAAAGACTGCGTAACCTCTACTGACGAAACGTCCACAGCTGAATTTATTCAAAAGTCAAATATGCGATACTAGACGATAAACTTCTGGTTCCTCGTCGAGCCGGAGAGACAGCTAGAGCAGTTGGGAATCCCCAGGGTTATTATGTACGGCTAGAGCGGGTTATGTCTCTTAATGAAACAGCAAACGCAAATTTCAACAACACGAAGTTGGGAAAAATAAAAAAATGTCTTCACGCCATGAACTGCTTGGGGTTCAGAGTCAAGGACCTTGTTTCGGCGGTTTTAGTGTGAGATTACGTCAATTTTTGCACGCACAACAGAGGAGCTAAGAGACACCAGGATGCGCACGTTTTAGGTCAGAGGCTGACCTTTTGAGCCTCCCCCCCCCTCCGCCGAGAACCACGCCCACCCTGCAACCTGTAACAAGGCGTTGGCATTTGAGTGCAACCTGCACTACGTGTGACCGTCGAATTCAGAACCGAATTTATTACCAAATTCCCTCAAAACCTTCGTGGCGAAGCATCACGCCTCTCATATTAAAAATAAAAGTGGCTTTCTAATTAAAAGAAGTCGAAATTTAATCAGCAGAGAATCGATCTGTGATCAGTCCAGCTGAGTGTACGTTCACTTACAGAACATCAACAGTACGAATGATTAAAAACGTCGTTGGTGCTGGTCTTATGGTAGCAACCTTCCGAAACGTCCACGACGCATTACAACTCAGAAGACTAAAATTGAAACCTACGCCGTGAGAATCTCAAATCTCACATAAACTCATGCGCCAGTGGAAAAACACGATCACTAAATTGGGAGAGAAATCTGACAGACAGAGAGAGACGTAGGCGTACGCGGGAAGATAATATTAAAATGGATACTAACGAAAGTGTGAATTGGATTCATCTGGCTCAGGACAGGGCCCAATATTTGGTTCTTGTGAATACGGTAATGGATCTGCTGGTTCAATTCGAGGCGTGCGATTTCTCGGGTAGACGAGCGAGCGACAGTCTGGTTCTAAAGAACGCCAGCAGCTGGGTGGGATATTACGCGCTGAATTCGTACGCGTGCGACTTTCAAAATGGGAATAACGTCTCCACGCGAGACTCAGTCAGGAAATTGAGGTCAGGGGCAGAGCGTTCGCAGAGTTGCACACTTGGGAGTGCCATGGGAGAGGAGAGAACCTCTGATCCTTCCCACGGTGTAAACGCGTTTCTAAACGAATTACCACAACACACCAGCAAGTGGCGAAACAAGGCGACGGCGTGGTCTATTTCGGGTTCTGGAGATCGTATCGCTTGGATTATAATTCCACGGCATGTCGTGATGTAGTACAAGGTGTTACGATGCGCCAGTTATCGCAGCATCACACAATCGGCAGTTACCGACAGTTCCCATAGGAACAATACGACAAGAGGCCGAATGGCAACGCTGTCCTTAACACCTCGCAATGCTGAGAGGACGGTCATTTGAACGTAATGGAAGTGCCGTTAATATCCATGTCCGGATGTGAGGGATCAGAACTATGAGAGCGAAAACAGAGCAGAAGACCCGGGCATAGATGGCGGGATAATACTAAAACAGATCTCGAGTTCCTAAAAAAAAGGGGGGAATTTATCGACTCGCTTCTAAAGGACTCCCCGCCGCATTTTTGCGTAATGAACCATAATTCGAACGTGTTAGTTACCGGAACATTAACTTCTGAGTTCCCTTTCAGAAACACAAATTTCTGTTTTCCGAGACGTGAGGTCAGAATTGTGGTCACCGTCAACTTGTACGCGGCTGTGACACGGGGAAAACCTCTCCAAGGCCCAAACTGAGACAATGTAATCACATATCAAAACCACGTGACTGTAAAGGGTTAAATCAGTTTTCTTTTCATTTTCTTAATTTTTCGAGGTTGAAAACTAAAACAGAGCGAGAAAGGGACGGAAGCCCCCACGGCGAGGGCAGAGACCCCAGTATTATTACTGTTGATAGAAAGGGACCCAATGTGCGTCGGGGGGTATTTAGTGAGAGGGCTCGACTGCTTATAAAATTTGGTCAAACCTGCTCCAAGTCCCCAATGGCACCGTAGTTTGGACAGCCCCTCGGAGTTCAGGCAGTATGTCACACAGCACTTCGTCTCCCCCCTCCCCCCTGACTTATATCATCGTCCAGCTGATAAATGACCGCAGATAAAGCTTGCACACAGCGACTGCCCGCCATCTTTGCTTTTATCTGAAGGTCGGATCCCGGGGAAACTGTCGCGGTTCAATTGTCTCGTTATTTGTGCGACTGCATCCAGCTCTAATAACACGGCGGAGGAATGACGCCTTCCATTTGTCAACCTGTTATAGCATTACTCACGACTCACGTCGTCAGGTGCCACGGACAAAGGAAGACGTCACAGGACGTTTCACAACGCGAACGCGGCGAAAACATTGAAAAACGCGCGTGCGAAATTACGCGGCTTTCGGCTGACACCCGAGGACTTTGCCCCTTCGACAAAGTCAGTCAGGGTGGCGATTAACGAAGGGCGGGGGGCACAGGGTGTCGAGGGCGGAGTCGATCAAAGCGGCTGAGGAGGACACATCGGTACACGTGGTCCGTGGAAGCATGCTTGTATCTCCAATTCGAGCTTCTTACCTTGCAAGTGGGCCCATAAAAAGTTCCGTCACCCCACCTCAATTTTCCGCATCAAACCTCTTTGTTTTCAAAAACACTCGCTCCTTCACAATGAAAGCGCATGTCTGAAACACTAATAAATCACGGGACTGTACAGGCCATTTTTCATTACGTTTTTATGAAGGATGCGGGGAGATTAAAGATCCTGAACTGATGGTACAGCGGGCAATCCGTTACCTCGCCGCATGGACCGACGAAGATGGCGCTCGTGATTCAAGAGCGGAAATATCAGCGCTGCCGTTTGCGGAGCCGTCCAACTGCGAAACTAAACAGATAATGACAGAATTTGGTTTGCTCGTACGGCGACGGGCCATCCCATTTCATTCGAAGGCGTTTCCTTACGAAATTAAATGCCAAAAAGAACAAATATCTGCACAGCAGCCTTGGCCAGCCACTGAAGACCGTCTTTCTTCCAGCTTAGCGTCAAACAGAGGCAATCAGATTTTATCGCTGCAACAAAGTGTGTGTGGTACTGGGCACAAACATTCTTCACGAGCTACGCGTTGCAGACACTCATAGAACCACCGCGTTCACAAGTACCAACCGTCGCATACGTCCTATACTGTGCCAGACGAATCCAATCCACGCCCAAGGCCCCTCCTCTGCACGATCACACAGTCACATACAGACACCCTCGTGCAAAGGGGGGCTGATGGTCTGATGCCGGGAACCTCCCTGATAAGCAAACCTGTCTCGAACAAAACGGCAATTAACTCTTTAACCCCGAGTGGTAATTATATGTACCACCTGCGTTAAAAACAAATAACAGAATTTTGCCCGAATATTCATATAATTCTCACTGTAAACAGCGATTATTTCCTTAAACAGCGTTAACCATTCGATCTTTGTAATGGTGAAGTGTAGTGTTTTCTTCGCGGTACGGGCTGAATTCTTAAATGTAATTTAGACGAGCTTCGGGCTTTAGAGCGTAAACGTCCACGTGACTCCGACGTAACGATGCCCCGGAGTGGTAGCGAAACAGGTGACAGCTACGAACAAGATGACGAAGTAACTCGAATGCAAAAAATGGCGATCTTGTGACACCAACGATGCTTTGTGAGTTTTCACAACCCCACGCCGAGCGCAGATGAGATCCAAGATAAATCCGAAAACGCAATTCACGGAAATGAGTCATTTCGGCGCGCCTCAGTTGCAGGTCAAATGCCGAGTCCCTCCGAAACAGACAATGGAATGTCCTTCGGTTTACTGTAACAGACTGGCGCCTTCGCACTGTCGCGAGGACCCTGGAATGACCGGGCGACGACGCGAGGGACCGGACGGTCATCCGATAACATTCACGTAAAGCTGAACTTAACTTATGGGCACAACAGCATTCCGCAAGATAAGTTACAGGATCTCATTTCGTGTCAACGCAAATGTTTAACTGCGGAGGGTGTGTCAGAGGCAAGACTAGCATTTCAGTACCAACGGGACGCCACTGAACCGTTGCTACGCGACATGATTGCGGTAGCACCTTCACGCAAATAACCTAACCCAACCTAAAATAAACTAATGATTGAATTAGCGGGCATTCCATGTTGTTTTGTATTTCTCGCAGTTAATACATGACAAAAAGTACTTTAACGCGGCCGTCTGCTCACCCGTGTGTGTCCTCTTGTGGGCCTTCAGATGAGAGCTCTTCGTGTACACTTTGTCGCAGCCCACGACGTCGCACCGGTGCACCTTGCGTCGCCTCAAACTGTCGCCGTAGTCTGGTGGGGCGCTGGGCGATGCGGACCCACTGCGCAGGCCGTTCTGCGCAGCAATCCTGTTGCTGGGGCTTACTACAGGCGGCTTGTGAAACACCCTGAGAACACACATGCACATTTTTCGATGAAGAAACCCGGATGGACAGCGAATCTCTGATCAGTGATGGTCTGGACGTAATGCCGCTAAGAAACCACTGTATCTTGGTACTATTTTACGGCGACTCCAAGCAGTCAGAGCTACTGACAGCAAGTACAAACAAACAAACCACCAAAAATTCAACCGAATAACAAAAAGTAGTTCCCTTATTCTACCCGAACGTCGAGCAAAGCAGCAAACAGTGAACTTACATGGAGGCATCCTTTATCCTCTGCAGGGACAGTAGCGTTGTCGTGGAGCCGGTGTGCAGTTTCTCGAGGCAGTTGGCTAGGGATTCGCCAGGAGGAGACGTTTCTGTAACGAGACGAACACCATGAGAGCATCTCTCGCCTGAAATTCGAACGAGAAATTACTCTTTAATCTTTATGCAAAAAATAAGACGAGAAAAGTCATACAAAACAGCTTGCCTGCTCATTTTAATTCCAAAATTACTTCATATAGAAATGCAGATTAGTATTAGCTGTTTCCGTGTTCCATAAGCAGGTTTAAAGTCAATAAAAACTGCAATTTGCGTTCTGTCCTTGTAACTTAAGATACAGAATGCAGGATTACGTACTACGGCAAAGAAGTTTGATCAGAAGCAGGTCCACCCCCCCGTTTCAGTTTGCCGAAAGGTGATGTTGGCACCACCTTCCTCGTTTGCCAAGTGCTCATCAGAGCTATCAAAACGATAAACCTCACTACTTTACGCTATAAACCAAAGGCGGACATCGACTGTTTGCGTTTACCTCGACAACCAAGTCTAAAAATAGTGTAAGGTCAAACACGGCAGGTTCGCAAAGGAATGCTTTTACATCGACTGCATAAGATTTCTACATGCAATTAAAACGGCGTTAATAACTTGTTCTCATACAATTATGACCACAACCCGATCATTAGTGTCTCCGAACGCAATTAGCTGTCTGTCTGTCACGCGATTAAAACCACGGGCGTTACCAGTCAACCGATTTACGTGAAACTACGTGTAAACGTGCTGACAGAAACACA